CAGAAAAGCTGTATCACAGTATGGTCCTAAATATAAATAAGTTTAGCTAATCAAGAACCTTGTTTTTTATATAAAATTGTGAATGAAATCTGTGGATCTTTATGATAAATTAAAATAAGATAAACTCTTTCACCTAGAGAACATGGTAAGTTGTTTTTATTCTTTTAATATATATAATGTTTTTGACTGGGGTGTTAAACAGAGAATCATCTTTGCTTTAATATGGAGCAAACAAATGTTCTGTTAGTTAATGTGGTTTAGATAAACTCAGTGAATCTCACAGACAGCCTGCGTGCAGTGACACGCTCATACAGCAGTCTCTCAGGAGGAGAGTTTAGTCACTCACACAGAGTTGGACAGATCTGTTCAATAACAACATTGTGAACATGTATTTAATATAAAGTTAGGTTTTACAGACCAAAGTCTCTGGTAGTTCAGGAGCAAAGTGCAGGAGGAGAGGAGGAGGAGTCAGGACTGATCGCTGCAGCAGCTCGACTCGAGCCGAGCCAGTCCGCTTCTTCAACCAAACTGCCCTCACTGGAAGTCCCGCCCTGCTCTGCTCTGATTGGACAAAACGGCTCTGGACTTCGTCTGATTTGTTGAAGGCAGTGTCCGTTTAATCCTTATATCAGGGTCCCGCTCTGGCGCACCGAACAACAATCTATTCACACCAGTGCTGCTGGATTCTTTTTTTAAGAAATCAGGTCGTGTTTGCGACCAAACTGGTTGCACTCTAGAGCCCTGCTAACTGTTGTTTAGACAAACAATCAGGTACAATCTTAGGTAAGCAAGGGAGTTTTATGACGTTACATCTGGTGCGGTTTTTCCTTTTTTGATCGCGCATGCGCACCTGCACACTGCTTATGTGCAACTCTGTTTATATACTTCTATGAGCTGTGGGAGGATTTATGATCCTTTCTGCCCCACCGTGTCTTCAGCCTGTTTACACTCAGGAAAGATGGCTGAAATGACACAATCACCAACCTGCTGTTTCACTTAAGAATTGAAGTAAAACCCAAGCTTAAGTGATTGTATAAAAGTAATTATTTACTTATTCTACGTCTCTTTTATTGGCTGCTCCCTTTATAAAGAGGTCACAACAAGTGTACTCGATGTGGCAGTTGTTTTGATGTCAGATGCCCTTCCTGACCCAACCACAGACCACTGAGCTCCTGTAGCCCACCCGTGGAGCAGGGCGCTGCCATCTAGGGTAGCAGGTGTGGGGTTAATGGTCTTGCTCAAGGGCCCAGAGTGGGGTAAATGAAGGTGGAGGAAGGTGTGGGTGCTTCAACTTTCCCACCCACATTTTTTGATGTAATGATCAGGGGATTAGAACCTGCAACTTCTCAATCCTAGGCTCATGTCTCTAACGTCTATAAACAACTTTTATAAATCTTCTATAAAACTATGTATTTCTAATCATCTCTTCTACTTGGTGACATGCTCTTTTCTTTTTCACCCCAAGAGAAAACCAAAATCAGACAAACCGACCTTCTCAAAGAACAGAGACTCGGTTCCGACTCCATGCTTGCTGGGCTCTGCCACAGACGGATCCTTAAAGTTCAGTAACTTGGGCTTCTTCTGCAGCAAACAGACACATCAATACGACAGTTACAAACAATGTATGGAAGCTGGAAATGAAAATGCAACAGGTTCAGGACACAAACCTTGACTGGGGGTGTGCTCCCCGGGGTCGAGTGGCGCCGGATGGGACAGCCGTTCTGACTGGGCCTCTGTTTATTGTTGAGCTGCAGCTTTTTGGTGGTGAGACCATGGTCGTTCTTCACTGACTCTGCCTTCTCAGCCGTGGTCTTACTCAACATCTGGAGAAATAAAGATAGGAACAAAGATGTGTGTGCTACACGTTACATCACTATCAGGGTTCATGCATGTTTCAATAAGTTAAATTTAAGCCCTTTTAAGGACCTTTAAAGACCATTAGGAACGATATTTAAGACCAAACTGACACATTAACAAAAACATTCAAGTGATCCCAAAAATTTTAACAACTTTTATTGCTATCAACTTAGCTATGAAAGAATATTTAATTTTAAGAAGAACATCAAATTATTTTAATGAAACTGTCATATCTATGAGTCCTTCACATCGACTGCTGTGGACTGTTTCCAACGGAGTGAAAAAAAATCACTGATATGAAGTCAAGTCTCACTGAAAACACACTTTCCCATGTTTAACCTCTTAAGCCCCGAGAGGTTTTCTTGAAGTTTTTTTTTTCTCAAAATACCATGCTGAAATATAACTGAGTGTATCTCAGAATTTACAAACTCTGCTTAAATAATCTTGGTATCAAAATAAAGCTAACACTTGGGAGATTTCATCAGAAATGTAAGCATTAAAACAGCTGTTGTGGTTTTAGAGATACTGTATTGAGGATGGAACATAATTTTTTATTTTATTTTTTTCATTAGACAATATATAACCCATTTAAACCATAATGAATCAGGCTAAAAACTCTTGGAATCCACTTTTGGACATTACCTCAACACTTTACAACATATTTACTGTAGGTACCTACTTTGACTTGCTTTCAAAAAATAACATTGAAAGTATTTTCCTTTACAGATTTGTTTGAATATATTTACAGATTTGTAATGACATCATTTTGTACAGTTTGTTTACTTTCTGATTCAACTGCTTGACATTTGAACGGTGTTTGGTGAATGTAAAAATAGCTTTTAGCCATGATTCTCAGCTTTCTTTTGATACCAAACAAGTCCAGGTTCAACTGACAGATCTTAAGTTAAAAGAAATAGAAAATGGAAAAAGTTGTTTTGACCCCCGGTACCGGGGGCATGGGGCTCAAGAGGACATGACTGAACTTTTGTTTTTTTTTGAGCAGGTGAACAAGCTGCCGTATGTGGGGGGTTGCAGCAGCAAAGAGGTTGAAAACATGGAAGGAAAGTGTGTCGTTTTTGCCCGCAGTTATCACAGGATTTGTAGTTTAACGTGTACAAATTGTGTTAGCAAACTAAGCACTTCATGAAGACAGATCATGTCAACCTCTGGTTACTGTGCTTTACTCTGCTTATTTATACAGCCAACACTTGTTGGGAAGGATTGAAAGTATAAAATATTAAGACTTGACAAAATAAAATTTAAGACCTTGGATGAAAATCGGGGTGTTTTTAAGACTTTTTTAGGCCTAAAATTTTGATTTTCAAATTTGAGACATTTTTAGACTTTTTATACTCCAAATGTTATTATTAGTTATTTTAAGAATCTCATCTCATCTTAGGCTTGAAACATACTTGGTCTGACGCCGACGGGTCGACGTGCGGTCACGTGGTTGTTCGGCAGTCGTTTTCGCACAGACCTTTCATAGTCCCTGAGACGAGATCGGAAAACCCCCCCTCCCTGAATCATACGTCACTGCATGGAATTTCTCCCCACAACAGCCGACAACGCAGAAAAAAAAGACTCGTCACTCACCTGACGTATTTAACCACATCTGTTCTGGTTTAGCCCCACAGTTTTTATCAGATTCCTCTGTGCACAACGTCTGTTTTATCTCCATTCATGAGTTTTTCACAGTAAAACTTCTTCCTGGTGTTGGCTCTGGGAGCAAGTCGGGTCCCCCC